CAAAGGACAACTATAATGGCGGTTATCCGAGAGGCTCCCTTGTCTTTGATGAAATGCTACGCAGATAAAAGTCCCAATTACACCCAATTGTCCTGGGGCTCGGAAACAGGGAGCACGTCCTCGAGACTGAAACGAGATCCTGTTCTGCGGTAAGCCTGTGGTTTCTTCACCTTTTTGTAGCTTCTATCTCTCCACTGGGTCAGACACCCCGAGTGCGAGGCTTACTCCAAAAACACTGTTAAATGGGTGTAGAGTCCCCCTTCAGATTCACACTGAAGGAGTCTGCTTTCAAAGACACACTAGAGAATCCTTTTGAAGAGCGAGCGGCCCAAGGTTACTCATCCATGGACTCAATGAATCCTTTCAGAGTGGGGTACTCATACACAGACAGACTCAACAAAAAGTGTTTGCTCACAAAAGGGTGCCCAGTGCAAGAAGACCGAGCCATGTCATCACTCCACAACTGTCCATCATCTCAACATTTGCTTTCAAAGAGAAAGAAACACTTGAAAAATTTGAGACTAGTCGAGCATTCGAACGGTTTGACTTCATTGCATCCAGATATAGAGATATTACCATGATTTCTCAGTCACGTGAACATTAGATTGACAATCTTGACAACAAATCCTCATATAATCTGCTTTTTTTGTACAGAAGGAAGTACAGAAGTGACACGTTGGAACAAAGGCTCACTAAGGATCTTCTAGACTCCAACATTGTTCGGCTTGTGGCCCGAGCAGCTTGCATACAACTTCATGATTTAGAGCTTTTTTTGTCCTCTTGTACTCGATGAAGGACTAAAACCCTGAGGATATTTTTCCTCCTGCTTTTGGAGGAGCTGATGTTTCTTATAATTGTTCACTGAAGTGAATCAGCCACCACAAAACACTGCAGCACATTGAGACCACTAGCAGAGGGCACAGGGAAGGTGACGAATTGGCAGTGAGAATGAACTTAATCCCCTAAGCTCTTGTTGGGGCTTGTCTTTGCTGTCCCTTCTTCCCTAGAAAAGACCCCGAACGTACAAAGCAACTCAAACAAGAGTTCCCACTCTGAGCCTACTGAAAGCTCACTGAGAAAAAAAAAAGCTCCTGGTACATATCTGTGTGTTCTGCCAACTGTGTGGGGAATGAGCTTGCAGCTGCATTTTTTTCTGTCAGATTTGGAAGTGGCAACATTAGAAAATCAACGCTGGAAAAACCAGTCAAAACTTAACATGCATAATATGTAAATGCGTCCACAAACACAACACAAAACAGCTCCAGGAATAAAAAATAAATAAATAAAATTAAGATTTTTTTTCTTCAACAGGTGAAAGAGGTAGCCTTCAGATGAAACAATAACTGTTGATTATCAACCTCAAAAGATTTACCATCTTTGGGACATGTTTAAATATAGTTAAGAACCCTGATTTGTGTGATTTTGTTCCTTTATAACAATAACAGTAAAATATACATCAATGTAGACATATAAAAAATAAATATTTGTACAGATTTATAAAATAAAATAAAATAAAATAATGGTTAACAGGATTGCAAATGTAGCATAAATTAAGCTCACTCAATAGTGGTTAGCTAGTTTGGGACCAAATGTTGGTCTGTAGTTACTGATAAAATAAGGGTCACACTTTATTTTAAGGTCCAATTCTCACTATTAACTATGACTTTTGCCTCAATATCTAATTTGCTGCTTATTAATGCTTAGTAGGGTAGTTGTTAAGTTCAGGATTAAAGTCGGCATGAAATGGAAGTAGCGATGGACCCTTTTCCCAAGACTGTGATGACGCGTTTAATGGTCATCAGCATTGTAAATCCTCGAAAGTTTTTCATATTTGTATTTGTTTTTTAAATGTATGTACATTTATAACACTATTCTTTGTATTATATCATCTTTGCATCAAATTACAAAAAAAAACAGTTAACGCTAATGCGAGGGTGTTTCTAATGCAGAGTCTATGGGAGGGACGGTAAATTTGACATCGTTCTCTCTTCTGACTGCCGTTATCAGTCTCTCTCAATTTTTGAGGTTTTCTTTTGCTATTTGAGCAAATGGGAATGCAAAAAATATATTTGTGGTACTCTCCCATTCACTGCTCTTCAAGTTAACCCAACTATGACGACTTCCGCTGCTGAGAAACCCGGAAATGTGAAAAGGGTCCATTGTCTTTTTTTCTCTACTGTGACATCTATCCGAGTGAAACGGCATCTGAAATGAGAGGGCGGGACTTGATTTCATCCCTCGAGAATTGATTGGATCATTGGAAGTTGGGGCGATGCTAACAAAATGGAGGCAGATCTGAATGCCAGTTTGCAGTTAGTTGTGGAGGGATTTCTCTCCACTGGATTCACCGCCGACACCCCAGCATGAAGAAATGTTTTATTTATTGAGGATGACGATGACGAGGACGATCAAAGGCACAAAACATGTCTAACAGCGCGTATGTGCGCGCAAGAGAGAGAGAGAGACTGCCTGAATGACTGAGCGCGTCCTCCATCAGGTTAAGTCATATTCTTAAAAAAAAAAAGTTTGCGATGTCCTAAGAGTAATGTTGTCGTAATATCCTAATATCCTTTCGATTTTTAAGGGTAGTGTACTCCCCATGGCTCACGTCAGAACTGGCCAATGCATTGATTTCTATAAAGTGAAGCATCTACAGCTTTTCCCCCGTTTATCCCAGCGTTTACCCCTCACATCACTAGCTCCGCCCTTGCGCCATAGCTCGTGACCGGAAGAGAAGATGAGTCGTTTTGAGGGGGAGGGGAGGTTAACGTTTTTGATTAAAGACAATGAGGGCACATGAATTTAAAAAAAATTATGAAGTGCACGGATAAATTATTTATAATAAACACTACAGTATTCCATTAAAAAATAAGAATTTTCCATTTTGATTTCATGCCGCCTTTAAGGGATCTACAATATGGTCATGCAGAATAATGCATTAACGGGGTCATCGGATGCCCATTTTCCACAAGTTGATATGATTCTTAAGGGTCTTAATGAAAAGTCTGTTACATAGTTTGGTTAAAGGGGTCATATGATGTTGCTAAAAAGAACATTATTTTGTGTATTTGGTGTAATAAAATGTGTTTATGCGGTTTAAGGTTCAAAAAACACATTATTTTCCACATACTGTACATT